TAACACCCCTCTTTGTACAAAATCGAATTCAGATTTATTTATTTATTCATTTATTTTAAATCATCAAACAATTAATTTACAAAGAATTACCTGACAAACACATACTTCCCCAAATTCCCCAAATTTTGAATTTCTTGCAATTTGAATTTATTATTATTACTATTTTTTCATTGCTTTCACATTCAATTCCACAACACAAACTTCACATCTTAAAAATAGAGAGAGAGGAAAGAAAAACTCACAATAGATAAAAAGACTTCAAAGATTTGACTGTTGTTGCAATTCTCTCGATTTTGAATCTGTTCAATAAAGCGGTGCTGACCACGAAAGCGCTGTGAGACAAACACATAACAGTCTACAGCTGCAAAACAATCTGTATTGTTATTTATGTTTTTTTTTCCCCACTGAAAAACCCAAGTGGTCACTGTAACCAATGATAAAGCATCCATCATAAACCCAACAATGTGAAATCCCCATTCCTAGCATGCATCATTTTTATTATGCAATATGTAGAGCGGAGGAAAAAACAAAACAAGCGATTTTATGAAGGCATTATGAGACTAGAGAAACTCTGTGAACACGTGCTCAGTTTTTAATCACCAAAGCTATAATTATAACACTCAACGAACCAAACTACAGCCATTAGGTGCAGTCTTCATGGTGCTGCATGCATGAAAAGAATGACTGTGGTCTCTGTCAAGAAGCCCTGAAGACACGCAGAGGCTATCTTGCTTTCCCAGACACTAACGGCTGATTCACTGAATTATCCTTCTTGCTCAGTAACTGAGGCTGCCCTGCCGGCTTGATCCCCAACTTTCCTCGCAACTGCATAAATGAATTTCAAAACAGGGTGAGAGAGAGAGCAATAGAGCGGGAGCTGAGGTGGAAGGTCGCAATAAGCCGATGTAAATGGAGTCTGTTGCCAATGGCGGAGGAAAACTAAAGGATGGAAATGGAGAGATGCTGCTAGAAGAGGCAGAGACGGAAATGCATATGCACGGGCCATCACAATGAGAGCACGACGGGATCTCATTAGGATCCAATCCGACTGCATTTATCTTTGTTTGTCCAATTCCTAATGACCGCTGCGCCTCGACGGTGCCTGTTCCCATCCTCACTCTCCTGCACACAGTTGGCACCACTGGACGCCCTGAAGCACCTGCTGCTCGTCAATGAGGGCATCCAGCCACCGACAGAGCTGCCAAATGCCATCAGCCCGACTGACCGAAGCGTTAGCATCCTCCTGCCACCACGAGTCTCGTCCAGAACTGCCTCTTACTGCCCAAACATGCATCTCTAATGCAGCTGAACACAGTGTGTAAAAACACAACATAAGACTGATATGGGCCAATTTATATTAAAGTCTTTAACGACTTACTGTGCTGATTACATGTGACAGCTCTAGTATACTCTGGTGTGTTTTTTTTTTTTTACTTTTATTTAAAAAGGATGCATTAAATTGATCAGCAGTGACAAGTTAGTTATAATGTAACAAAATATTTCTATTTCTATCTATGCTGTTCTTTTGAACTTTCTACTCATCAAAGAATCCTGGAAAATAAAACGTATCACAGTTTTCACAAAAAATATGAAGCAGCACAGCTGTTTTCAACATTGCTAATAATCAGAAATGTTTCTTGAGCAGCAAATCAGCATATTAGAATGATTTCTGAAGATCATGTGACACTGAAGACTGGAGTAATGATGCTGAAAATACAGCTTTGATCGCAGCAATCAAATTTTTATTTTATTTATTTTTTTATTATATTCAAATAGAAAACAGTTCTTTTAAATTGCAATTATATTTCACATTTTAAAAATATAAATAAAATATAAAATATAATAATAATAATAATAAGTAAATTAAAAAAATCTAAAAAGTAAAATTATTTAAAAAATAAAAAGTAAAACTACAAAAAGTAAAGTTATTCAAAAAATGTAATTACTAAATAAGTAAGTAAATAAATAAATTAATTAATTAATTAATTACAAACAATTAAAATGTAAAAAGGTAAATAATTTATGGATAGATGGATAGATGATTTTAGGTGTTTATCAATTAGAATACATACAGAATGTGTCTAAATCACAAACAGAATCGCACATGTTGATCAGAAGAGTCCAGATGTTCTCTAAATGATGGGTTGGCGAAAAAAGAAAAATCAAAACAAAAATGAGACTTTGAACTGGACATATTCAGCAGAACATCTGCCTGGGCGTTTGCTTACAAAACACACACAAATGTGTCTCCCGGCAACAGAATGATTTTCCATTGATAATGAGATGGGGCGTCAGTCATAACCCCATCGTTTTGATTATGAGGCTGTGAAAACATTTATTCCACATCAGCAAAAACACATTCAATTTTCACTGATTCGCTTTACAAATACTGAAAATGAGGCTGAACTCTGTCCACCGAACATCTGTTTCTTACTCCGAGTTGATCTGAAGCTCATCTACACAAAAGTCTGGATAAATTTACACTTCTCAAGAATCATCTCACATCCAGGGTTCAAGATCAGTGTCCCTTTGTGAAGGAGGATCTCTAGGGAATCCAAATTCAGACGGCATGGGTTCTCTCGCTGTCACCGTCGAATCGATTCGAGCCACCGCAGACACGCCGGAGAGTCAAAGGGTCGCTGGCTTCCCTGCGGTATGGCCATTTAGTGCTCTTAAAAACCTCCCCTCCCGCCAAGACTAAACTCACAAGAACAAGACCAGCGAAATGGCCAAAAGAGACCAGACGTGTACAATAATTTCAGACAATAGCTGTGCAGAATACATCTGTGGATTTGTGAGATTCTGGGCTGCACTGCATTAATTTAGTTTTCTAGCTCATTTTTAGCTGTATTGAATGCTTGACTACATGGCCAAAAGTAAGTGGACACCTTCTAATTAACAAGTTCGGCTAACTCAGTTATACTGATTAAAAACGGCTGCTTAGAATCAAACGAACAGCCATGAAACCTCAGCAGACAAAGGATTTTTTGTAGAACCGAGACTGTTTCCAGCATGATAGCGCACCGGTGCACAAAGCGAGGAGCATAAAGAAATGGTTTGTTGAGTCTAGGTTAGAAGAGCTTGACTGGCCTGCATAAAGCCAGACTGAAACCCCACTGAGAAGCTTCACGATGAATCTGAGCGCCGGCTGTGAGTCAGAGCCCAACGCTCAACATCACGCCGACCTCACGGATGCTTTATATCTGAATTGAGAAAATCTCCACAGCCGTGATCTAGTGGAAACTCTTTCCAGAAGAGTGGAAGCTGTTAAAGCAGATGGTTTTGAATTGAGAAGCTCAACAAGCTCATGTAGGTGTAGTGTTCAGGTGTCCACGTACACTACTGTGCAAAAGGCTTTGGCCATTAGTATGTTATAGTCATTTATTTTGCTGTAGTGTCAGTAGGAAATATCCGTTTACATTTCCAAACATTCCTTTTGATTCCTTTAAATCCAGAAGAACTGTAGCAATGTCTCCAAGATACATTAAGAAACCTACCTGCAATTTAAACTGATATTTCCTACTTTTTTTCCACTTACCCTTTTTTTGATGAAAATATTAATGGCCTAAAACGTTTGCACAGTAGTATATATTTGGTCATATAGTGTGTATTAGGGGTCAAGCACAGAAGCGCTCCTTCTATCTTTGTACACATTCTAGACAAATTTGCATACTGTTTTCAGCTACTCCTCCTACAATATTTGTCCAATCTTATGCCCTGTCCACACGAACGCGGTTATTTTTAAAACCGCAGCTTTTTCTACGCGGTTAGGTCATTTGTCCACACGCAAACGCAGCACCAGGTCACTGAAACCGAACATTTTTGAAAACGCCTGCCAGGGTGCCGATTTTCAGAAACTCCAGTTGCAGTGTTATCGTGTAGACAGCGAAACCGGAGTTTTGGCTTGTGACGTCGGAGCATGCGCTGTTATCTCCACCTACTGGAAACTTTTTCAGGCTTCTGATTGGCCAACATGGCTTTATGGTTGAGATAATATCGCCACCTGTTGGTTTGGCATGCTCTTGACAGTTTGCGTTTTCATGTGGATGGAGATTTTTTTAAAAACGGAAGAAGGAAAAACTCAGTTTATAAAAATACCCGTGTACGTGTGGACATGGCCTTAGTGCAGCTAAATAAGTGGGAAAAATCACAGCCTTTGTGGTTTGATAATCGGACTAAGAAATTTTAGTATTATTTTGATCAATCAGGTTCAATCGTCACTAACGCTGCCTAATAGATCATCTTCAGGCCAAACCTCACAAAATTAACTTATTTTTTTATTTTTTTATTTTTTTAAAGAACAAAGTTCCTGAGTTCCAAAGATGCCAATCATGGTGACAGTTACTATCTTGCAACATCATCTGTGCATATTAACACAAATCTTTGCCAAAATGTCCTGATTGCCCTATGAATGATGCCAAATGCTATAAAGATATAAATACTGGTAAATCTACTTATATTCCTTAAACTAATTTATATTACGTAACCAAAGGGAGTCGTATGACCAGACAAATCTGCTCCAACGTACAATTGGCGTGTGCCATTGGGGCTTGGCTGCATAATTGCTGCCTGCAGCTAAATTTGCCATTGCTTTCCCTCACGGGTAAAGTGCAAACATCGAGAGGCCTGTCTAGTTTCAGACCTGTAAATAAGACTGAATGTCAGTGTGGCGTCACCACAGAACAACAGGACTTCACTGACCTTCTGAGAGGCCGACCCAGCATTCTCAAGTCCTTCAGCCTGTCCATTTTCTCCTCTCTTCAGGGTGTGACGACTCCACGCTACTGAGCCAGATACAGGAGCTCCACGGCAGTCATTGAGTCATTGGCTATGATACACCAATCTGTCTGTGGGAAAAAGAGAGGGAGTGAGAACCAAAATAGATGAAGACAAAATGACTGTCAAAGCACTTGAGCAGTGTATCGCGTTTTCTTATATTTACACAGCTAAGGGTAATTGATTATATTCAAGTCAAAAACACTGACTGAGCGCATAGACACTCTATCTTATTGCTGAGTGGAGCCCAGTGTTGAGAAATGGTGATTGTTCTTCATTCATCAGCTCTCGAGAGTTGAAGAGACAAAAGTGTGAGATAAATGACAGGCTTTCCCTCAGCTTTAGAATCAAAGTGGTCCCGAATTACAGAGTGGTGATTTTTATGTTGGCCGCTGTATGTTCTAGCTGTGTAATTGGCATACGTTGGTGCAAATGGTGGAGTTACCATGTTCAGGAGAGACTAAATTACCATTCATTATGATGGAACAATACAAACAGAGAGTGAAGCTCCACGGTTTTCTACAATAAATAGATAAGTTCTAGGTGAACTGGTAAAAATGGGTGTAATTACAAAAGAATGTTTGAAATACATAAAACGTTAAAGCTAAAGCTGCATGATCGTGACAAAAATCGTAATTGTCAATTAATCCCCTTGATACTGTAATCACTCTTACATTCACATGACAGAATTTGCATATAAATTAGGGCTGCAAATGAAACATGTTAATTTAGTGTTATTAATTAAGTACTAAAAATAAAACATTCCAAAATTAATGTCATTAATGAAGGCCCCTCTCAGAAATGCAAAGACATTCATCTGCAGTTTGGGGTTTTAAGATTTTATTTATTCATTAATTTATTGCTTTGAAACAATTTAATACTTTTAATCAGAAAGGATGCATTAAATTGACAATAAACATTTAGAATGGTACAAAATAAATGATTTCTGAAGGATCACGTGACACTGCAGACTGGTATAATGATGCTGAAAATTCAGCTTTGCATCACAAAGAATAAATTAAATTTTTAAATATATTCAAATAGAAAATAGCTATTTTAATTTGTAATAACATTTCACAAGTATAATGTTTTACTGCATTTTTGATCAAATAGATGCAGCCTTAGTGAGTAATATGAGACTTCTTTCAAAAACATCTTAACCAACCCCAAACATTTGAATGGTAGTATACATAAACTATCAATTAAACATAATTAAATATACAGCCACCAAATCTACCTGCTGCAGGTCAGTGATGGGCACAATTTCAATCATATAGAAATGAACACTGTGTTTGCATTGTCTATTTAATGATTCTCTCATCTGCCTCAATAATGCAGACTAATGTCCTTGAATTGTCTTTAATTATGGGGGTTCAGCCACAAATATTCACATATGTGATTATTTGTAATTAATTTGATTAATCAATTGCCATATCTTTTAATTAATCCGATTACAATTTTTAATCGTTTGATAGCTCTAATTAAACATAAGTAAGTCAAGACAGTGGTTAAACAGTACCTTCACATTGGCCCTCTGAGCAGCATAAAAACACATTCCCAATTATGCCCAGAAAGTGAGCAACGTGACAATACTAGCGCGCTCCCAGCCATTAAAATCACCGAAGCTGTCACTGTAAGTTTACACAGTTTGAGCCCTGCAGTTCAGCGTGAGTTCACTGAGTTCTGGACTCGCAAATGTGCCCCTTAAAATCAACATAGCTGTCTCTACTGCAGATAAATATCTCATTTACACCTCGCTATATTGGCTGTTACACCGATTGCACTGCAAGCCAGCGGCACGACATGTAACAAATCCAAAAGAATTCCAAATTACCAACGGTTCATTTCGCTTTGGTTCTTCACGTGCCATCGCGGACCGAAATGAAACATGAAACACAGATCAGATTGCTTATAACTCGCTCATTAAGGACCAGCTGTTATTATTCATGGTAAATATAGACGGTTTTAAATGCCTCCGATTGGCCATTACATTAATGTGCATGACTGACGTGGCTTTGATTGGTTACAAAGCTCAACATCATCAAAAATACACAACCTTTCTGCAAAACTCCCAAAACTATATATGTACAACTGACTGCAGTTTACATTTCAGTCTAAATGAACACCTTTTCACACAAACTATGATTACAGGGCAGATAATTAGTTATTAAAGGGTTATTTTTGTGTGGTTCCTTGCACAATACTACGTTATGAGCTCCAAACACTTTTTAACATTGTAAAGTAATACATTTTGATGTTTGCATCACATAACCAGCTCCATATGTACGGCTTTTCTAGCATAGTAAACTTGCTTGTTAGCACACCTGGTACAGCATTACCCTTGCATTGCGAAGTGAGTCCTGTGAAACACGAGTCATGATAAAATAATTTAAAGACTTGTATAAGCAAAATAAAATGGCATGGCTGCTTCAGCAAATGTGTTTTTATCTCATGTTTGCTTTTGTTAACCCTATCAGTTAGGTTTAGTATAGATGCTACATTATTTTCAAACACGATAAACCTTTTAGCGCCATTCACCATTTAATTTCCAAACTGCCTCAAAACATACAACAATCAATGTAATAAAACATTGCCATAGTCACATTAATCTGTTTTAGATAAAAATGAGCATGATTTTAGTGATTTTTCACTTTGAAAGTGTCAGCAAACATGCAAGAAACATAATTATATATTTTTTTGCAGAAATGTTGCTACAGGCTCCAATGAGTCTGGTTTAAAAAAAAATAAAATGTAGAAGTAGAAAACTTGACATGCATGAAAACATGAATAGGTAATCATGGTTGCAAAAATTGTAATGCGTATTTGATTATTGTGCAGTCCTAACTGAAATCTTACACTGCATTGCATCAAATTAGAAATAAATTTATGTTCCGAGGTATTTATGTTGCTGCAAATTTAAGGGTTAAAATGTTATGTGCTCTATGCATCCAAATCAACGTGCATAACAACTTCTACAATAAATACAGTCATAACACAGATAAGAACAACCGTTAGTCTTCATGCATTAGTAAAAAAGCAATTCAGAGATAGACAGGTACAGTCTGTCCAAAGGCAGAGCAAACGTTTAGATGTTACATCAGATAAATCTGTGATAGGCAGTGAAGGAAAATGTGCATTTGAATATTCCCTACTGAGGTTTTACTATTCTTTTTTTCCCAAGGAAATATGCTTTAATTAAAGCCAGTGGGAACTGTTGGGTCACATTGGCAAATATACACTGCTTGACTGCAATTGTGTAAGCCTTGAAATTCAAAAGCTGAAGCAAAATCCCCTTTGAGCACCTCAGGGATTGGAGCTGAGGAGACGAGAAACCTTCAAAAATCACTTCATTTGCCATTTCTATCAGCATTTGACTTCCTGACCTTTGAATAAAAATGCAGAAAAGCTCTCTTGTAGGCTTATATTCAATTGTCTAATGTGTACAGAGTTACATAAAAGTATGGCATAAAAGTAATGAACAGAACATACAATTTTTCAAGGACACACTACAAGCTTAGACTGTTATACTGAGTTAATTAAACAAGATACTGTTCCACAGTGAGTATTTAAAACAAAAGTAAAACACGAAGTGGTTCGGTTATATGACTAGTTGCTTTTCTAGTCATTTCAACAAATAATCTTTTTCTTATTTCCTTCAAACATCCCTGGTTTTCTTTCCCATCATTAGATCTGCAGATTGCAAATGAGTCACATCTAAGAAAATGCCAAACTTTCATCAGACGCCGCTACTGAGCTGAGAAGTGACACCGCTCCGCAATACGTGCACATACACACTAGCATATGCGCGCACATACACACTTGTTCACGACATTGCTTAACTTCTCAGGCATGACATCAAGGAATCGCTTCGTGTCAAATCTTTCCATTCCGATAAAAGTGAAACGCTCGTCCAAATAAGTCCAATCTGGCAACCTGAGCGAAGGAAGGCGAGTTTACGAGAGGCGCGATCGGCATCAGTGCACTCCTCCTTTCCGAACAGGCCTGCTGTCGACACTTTTACAACAAGCATGCGTCAGATCTCCATGTTGTTAGCGATCTAACTTCTCAAGCATCCCTCTGTGGTTTATATAACATAATACACAAGGACAGGATATTTACATTTCTTTATGTCAGTGCTTTTACCCAAAGCGAATTACAAATGAGGAATGCTGATGCAGGTGCATATCATAAAGAGTGAATGTCCACAAAGAGCATCGGAGGCAAGAGGTTTTATTTTTACATTTACATTTAATCATTTAGTAGATGCTTTTATCCACAGTGAAGCAATCAGACAAACGAGAGAGCAACAGTATACAAGTGCTGTGACAAGTCTCAGTTAGTCTAGCACAGTACACATAACTAGTTTTTTTTTTTTATAGAATAGAATAGAATAGAATAGAATATGTAAGTGCTAGTATTAGTTCGTCAGGTGCTGGCGAAAAAGATGTGTCTTTAGACGTTTTTTTGAAAATGCCCAAAGACTCAGCTTAAAATTACTATCACAGTGATCAAAAATGCCTGCCAAATTCGAGATACAGCAAAAACGTCTACTGTAAAATGAACCTAAATTCATTACGGCTGTCATGATTAAAGTTAAGTGTGAAAATGAAGGTCATACAGTGCCGTTGTGTTACAGGCGTCCCGAGTTCGAATCCTGGTTTGAGGACCTTTCCTGATCCCACCCCCTTTCTCTCTCCCACTTTGCTTCTTGTCAACTCTAAACTGTCCTTTCATCATACTCAAAAAAAAAGTGACCCCAAAAAAGTGAAAAGACATACAAAGTGTAGATTGTGGAATTTCCTCATGTAGCATTTGATTTATTTTGTAGCGTTGAGCATTATAACCAATCACACACATTTCTGTTGAGCTTATGAATGCAATGGCCAATCAGAGGCGTTTAGTTTAGTCAATGCTGAAAACAGAGTCTGTTTCAAAGCTCGCGTTTACATTATTACATTAAAATTATGAGTTCTGCACTCTTGCAAAATGTCTCATTATAAACAATAAAATACAGATACAATGTAATTAAGAGACGCATTTAGCAGTGTAGACAGCTTCAGTGATTATAACC